ATTGTATATTTTATGACACTGACATGAATATATCATATTGTAAATAAACGCGTTTATAATACAGAGCAGTTTTTCGTTAGAAGCGAGTCACGAGTTTCTTTCCTATATTCCGAAGTTGTCGACTGCTTTTTAAAGATACATAAATATAAGCGAAATGCTGTTTACATTTAGAAATTGTTTGTTTTAATATTCAGTGTGCTCGCAGATCAAAGTTTATCGAACAATATTAAAAAAAAAGACTATTTACAAATGTCAATTGCAGTGTCACTGCGCGTTTGTCTTCGAATTGAAGGGCCTGATATTCTCTTTTCGCGTTTTATTGTGTGAATTCACGGAAAGAAAGGATTTGCTATATTAGCAAAATCTATTCGTTAAATATGAGAACAACTAACATTTTTTGCTGCGAGAGCTAATTAATTTAGCAATAGTAGCAAAACCTTTTGTTGCAAAAAGTTTAATTGCTACTATTGCTAAATTAATTAACTCTCGCAGCAAAAAATGTTAGTTTTCCCTATAGTAGCAAATTCTTTTTTTTTCGTAAAGTACTCAGCACTACTCATCAGCCGTGGGACACGCTGCAATTCATTTGTATTATTTTTTCATTATTTTCTGTTCCATGCAACACACATTTGTTTACCGTTGCGTGTGCAAGCGTGTTTCACCGCGAATCGCCGGCGGAGAGAAACCACCGGCGAAATCTACGCGCGGTTGGAAAGAAAATGTAGATGTATCGTTGATTGCCATCCGGGCGAATGAATACGCGTCTCGCAGGCGATAAGCGCCGGGAAACGGGATTGACGTAAAAGTTTCGCGATATTTCTTCCCGCGTGAATCGCAGGGAAAACGAGGTACGAGTAGGCGGAAACAAAACGCTCGCGTTGTAAGATGAAAGAAAGAGGAGCTGCGCCGGAGATTGTATAAATTTGCGGACTGATAAAGCTTGAAGTACCGTGTTATACTCGTCCTCGCGTCTAAATTTATCCCCGTTTCGGGGAGAATAAGCATTAGGCAAGACGGAAACCCGGAGATGAGGATGATAAAATGTGTCACAACCCCGATTTTTCCATTCCAGCGGCGTAATTATTTAAATTTCTTTGAACAAATATTTCGCTACAATGTAACATTTTTGAAGTTCAAGTCTAATGTTAACTTAAATTAGAGTTTATTTATTACATATATTTGCTTATACTTTACTTTACTCTATTCTCTGTACATATAATTATTTATTAAAATTTAATTAATAAATACTTCTTTTTGTGTAATATATCTTTTATCAATGCCTAATAAAAGGAGTGCAATATTTTGTTAATTTATCAGATTATTTAAACTATATTAAGCGTCCAGAGTAATTATTTAAATAGTAATACGGCGAAAGTTATTTACATGTGTTTTCTAGTTTACTGAACTAGTGATTTTAGTCAAGAGAGTGATTAAGCACGTTTTCTACATCTTGATCTGAAATTAGTGAACGAGGAAGTATGATCTGTACGATTTCCATGTCAAGTACAAATGGCTGATAGTGTCGTCTTCTGAAATATGCACTTCGCGCACGCAATCCTTTAAGTATTTTAACCATCTGGGATGTAGGTATAAATTGCATTAAGGTTATATCTAAATTCGGGATGTATCATGTTTGCGAATAGATCTTTTTTCTCGTAAATTTTGTGATACGTTGTGATTTCAACGTGATGCTTTATCTTCTTTTTTTTTCGCTTTGTAATATTGTAACAATTATAACTTTATAGTTTAGATTCTAAATAATAAAAATAATAAATGTCATTGTTACTATTGCCGTGGTGCCAGTGAAAAAAGTTATAATACATTCATTTCCAAAGCAGAAGAGAAATCTGATATTCTCGAATAACTTAATAACAGCCAATGCTAATTGGGGTCTCGTTAAGAGACGGAGATAAATCCTTTTCTTTTATACAATTGCATTGGATTCGCTAATCAATTCCGTTTATGAATTATACTCCTTCTATTTTTGACATTGCTTGTCGGTGCATTGTAATGTAAATTGAGTAACTGTAAATATGCCGAAATAAAGCTCTTATTACTTAAAGACTTCATGTCGTGCGCGACATAATTTCTCCTTATAACTTTATTTTTTAAATTAAATAAAAGCTTTTTATTACGAGACAGTGAAATGCGTTTTATTTAAAAGATAGCGAGCATTTTTCGAACGTCTCAATTTATCGTCATTGAATCGTTGAGAGATAACGATATCGTCGTGCAGCCGCTTTATCGTACATTGAGAATGATGAAAATAATGTGTTGAAAGAAGCGCCGACGATCTGATAAATATCGCGTGTCACCACTGAATTCATAAATATGTATTAAGTTGCGCTGCAATGTATACTTCTTTGAATGGAAAATGTGTTATCGATCGCATTTATAAATGAACGCGCTACATTTTATTGGAATAGAAAATCGGCAGATGACGAATATAATGAACCGTTGTAGCCCAGCAATGCGGCAAATTATTTCACCTTTAACGAAATAACGATCTAGGAAAGAAGGAAATTACCATGTATGAAACGTAATTGTAATGGCAGTGTTCTTTGACGAAAACCATCGCGGTTAATTTCCCGCCGACGTATTACGCCGGCATAAACGCATTAAATATTATACGCCTACCCCCCGCGTTTGATCTCTCGCTTAAAATTAATCCGATGATCGTATGCAACAATCTGCCTTATAAATAATAGATATTTATAAAGCACCTGACGTATGGCATATATTGTATATATTATTGTGTGACGTACATTAGATTCAATTTTATATTTAGCTAATTGAACGTTATAGAGTTTTTTTCTACCTGGAGTTATTCTGTCGCAAACGCACAGCTTTCTATTCAGGGCAGTAATGTAAATCACATTCTTTCTTATCGCGCGTTTCAACATTGTATTGACATGTGTTGTAACGTGATTTTCGTGGGCTTTAACATAAAAGATGTAAAATAAATAAAATTACAGTATTTTGTTATCATTACTATCGTCAATCTCTGTAGTTAATTGTTGTCGCGCATAAAATCAAAGGATAAACAGTACAGTTGTTGACCACTCTACAATAATTGGCCACATCTTAAAAAATTAAAGGTTATAAAGAAATACCAGATTAAGGGGATCCTGCAGCCGTATGATTTAGGTACCGTGCAAGTAAGATGAAGTAAGATTCAATGCGTACAAATTTAAAAAAGATCCATCGAAAAATTATTTTAGTAATGAAAATACGGATGCAGAATGACAAGAAGAGCAGCAACAGTAGTTGTTGGATCTTACGAGAGATGGCGAGCAATCGAAAAAAGAACAGATGTTATTTCGTTAGACAAAGACAGATATAGGGAAAACAAAATTAGAAAGGTTGACATTATCGACATCGAGGAAGTTCGTCTATCACTGCAGGATCCCCTTAAAATGTTTTTAATTATAAATACAAAAATATTTAATACACTTTTAAAAGAAACACTTTTATACATTTTAATAGTATTTCTTTATAATCTTTAACTTTTTAGGTTGTGGCCAATTATTCTAAAGTGGCCAACGACTGTACTGTTTACTCCTATATCAACATATTATTGCTTTTTTATCGTTTGTATTAAAAGTATGAAAAACACTCTTAACAAGCACTTAAAGTGGCATTGACGCTTACTGACAATATTTTCTTTTATAAGAAGGCATGTCTGGTTAAATGAAGTAGTGAAAGCACTTTTGGCCAGACGAGATTTTAAGTAGAACAAACAATTCCCTGGCGATTCGTTCGTCGAGGTCAAATGTTTTCGTCTCCTGTGTAAAAAAGACTATTATAAACTCGCTAAAAAAAGGGAAGGAAAAAAATACAAGTATTAAAGTATTACCGCGATAATTCTCGATGCTTAAGAAACATTTTGATAACGTTGACGCTATTGAGTTCGGTACGCGACGCATGATAATATCGGCACACTATTGACGTCGGAATGCTATTGATCGAGCACAAAGCATGACTGGTAGAAATTAAATTTTCTTATGTGAGATTCTTAACATACATATATGTATTACAGAGAACACGAGTTTGAAAATGAGATCTTACGTGGCAATGGTCTCGGGTCAACCCGCATAACGACATCTGCGCGTGACGCGTGTACAATAATTTCAGTTGCGTCGAAACTTGTATTTGCAATTGAAGAAAATTATATATTTTGCATTGTAATTTACTATACGGTACTAATAATTAATTTTCTCGCGAACAAGTCCGACGTTGTAGCGCGGTATAATATGAGATAAAATATACGCGCTGAAATTATTGACATAGAATTCTCTCTCTTTCTCTCTTTATCACTCTCTCTCTCTCTCTCTAGTTATACGAAAGAAATTTAACGACAAGTAATGCTTTCTGTCTACAGCATTTACACAATTGGTATTGTACATACGCTTATTTTATAATGGCCACATATTTTCTAGGACATAATCATAAATATAAAGCACGGAGCTCCGTCGTGTGCCACACGCGAAGGGAGGTATTTTTGCGTTTTATTTGCTTGACCTTGACAATACTATCACAGTCATTTGCAAAAAGATATTTATTATCGACAGTAGTACTTTGATAAATCTTAAGCCGTGCGTAACAGTAAGGCTGAAACATGCGATATTGCTTGCGATGATAACGGCCGTTTCAACAATTTTCCAGGCTGGGATAAAGAGTTTTATTTTTTACATTCCGTATACTTAACCGTAAATTCTACTTTACTTAATCTGCTTTAAAAAGCAAATTCATAAAATACGAACAAATAAAAAGAGAACGTTTATTTCGTTGTTTAACTCAAGGTTTAACTAGTATAAACTTTAATATAAAAAATTGAAAGATTAAAACAAATAATGGTCTTGATTGAATTTTTGCTGTAAAAAAAAGTTATTAAAGTTTAAGTTTATAAGAAAAATGCGGTATTCGTAGATATATATAGGTATCGCCCGTTTCTACCGATATTGAAATGATATATCTCTATTCAATCTTGACGATTCCAGGATGTCCGAGAGATGACTGGATACTGAGGCGGAGAGGGCGCAGTAGCTTTGAAGGTTGCTGCCGCCTCGGTTTGGTGGAATGGAGATGAACGGCACCGAAAGCAGCCTGAACGGCACCGAGGTCAACCGCACTTCCGCGCCGATCTTCACCATCGGCACGGACTTCATCACCCAATGGTAAGCGTCGCGTATCTTTTATTCAGAACGGACAGATTGACGCGCACACAGCCGAGGAATGCAGCTATTGCGCGAAACTATAAATGATATATAACATAACTTTCTGGCAATGCCAGGTGGGTCTCTCTTGGGTTCTTGAAAATTTTAGCATACAGATAGCATTGCGCATTGCAGAATCACAGTTTGCCATTACGCTGCCGATGCGCATAAGACGTACAAACGACGGTTGTTCCGCGCGTATTATTGTAATTTTTTTATGTGTTATCAGAACTACAGAGTAAAAATTTCCATAGGATTGTTGAATTTTAACTGCAGTTGTTTGTTAATCTCTCGGGAGATCTGTAAGCTGCAGTAAAAGCAGCGTTATCGAAACTGTACCCGCGAAAAAAAAATACAATAGTATTAACAAAGCTAAAAAAAAAGGACGTGTTTAACATTTATTTAAAACATATAGTTTTTTGTTCTTTTTTCTCGCTTATTGTAAAAATTTTTTATTTAACATTCTTCTGAAAGTACATTATGAAAGCCGCGGCTTTTTATACTTCTTGCATCCCGCTTTTTCGCGACTACAGCGGTTTGCTCTCAAATCCTTTTTGCTGACGTGTACTTGCACTATGTAACACACTATTCGTTCCACCGATTCTTAACATTCCCGAAGGATTTTGCGCTATAGGAAATGCGGGATAGATATAGATCGATGGCACAAAGTCATGTTAATAAGATATATCTACAGGTTGTCTCATTTTAAACGATCACCTCTCAACTTTTTCAATTTCAGTTATTTGGTCAGGAGAGAGACAAATAATGGTACGTGAAATTAATTTTCGACAAAATCTATATTTTTAAGGTCTGTATGAAGGTCATCTTCAATTTCTTAAATAAAACACCCCATTTTCAATAACAGAATTTTATAGCTTACGTGGAGATATTTCCAAAGACCTATAAAATAGTTAACATTTTTATTGAGAAGTTGCGGAGATATCATATCACGCATTTTACGATATCTTATGATCATATATATTCTTGTAAATAATATTAATCATTTAATTTTTCAGAGATATAGCGATTGTGACGTTGCATTAACATTGCGACGGATTACGAATTAAATAAATTTCGTTACGTTAATTTGTTTTTTAAAAAGTGAAGATGCTTCTCTCTTATTTCTCGTTACTTAACACGCGTATCACACATCGGTTGCCGTAATCAAAACTTGCGAGACAACACTAGCCAGTTTATAACGTAAATACCAAGAACGTCTGATTAGATTTGCGAGACTGTGTTAGCACTTTACGAAAGGGCAAGAGAATGAGAAGTTTCTCGCATTTAGATAAGCGATTCGTCATTTGGCGGAATGGCCCTCTTGAATTCCAAGCGGCTTCGCCAAGTTGCCGTTACCTCTGGGGCTTGCTCATTATCGAGGGGTAATAACATCACGCGGCACGTCTTATACAGTCAACGGTCGCCGTTTGTGTTCCCTTACTTTGCCGGGAATATCAAGGCTAAAGGAAATGAACTTTCACCAGGGACATTATTGAAGTAGAAAAAATTCCCTCGAGAAGTCGCCCTCTTTTTGAGACAAGATTTCTCCTCAACTGTTTTCCACTTTTAATCACGCCGAATGATCGTCACAAATTCTTGGAATCGTTATAATTGCTTCTCCATATAAATTTGCATAATAATTAAATTTGTTCGAAATTCTTGAAATAATCAGCTGTTATTTTGTCTGTACATCTAATTTAAAATAAACTTAAAGGCTTTTCTGAAGTAGAAATATTTTAAGGCGCATTACAAGGAGCAAGAAGGAGAATATTTATTCTCTTATCTCACAATCAGGCATTACAAGTACGACTTGCGCATTCGTCAAAAGCGTATCAGATCGATCAATCTTCTTTTTCATTTTTTCCTACAAATCAGCGTTCATCATTTTGAATCATAAACTATCATAAACATTACCGAACATATATATTTAATTGAAAATTATTTAACTTAGAACGTTACGTCAACTTTTACTTATATTGTAGCTGGTTCGCTTGCGTACATAAATACGTTTGGCGTGATGACATTTCAAGACAAACAATGCTTAGTATAACAGCCATTTGTGTACATCATAATCGACATTTTGCGCAAAGTCGATTTACACGGTCGAACTTTCATCGCTGTGTGCATCGCCTCTATACAATGGTTCGAAATAGTCTATATAGTTACCGCGTGCATATGATAGGCGGAGGCATTTGCGGGGGCTGATAAAACTCGCGTAAACCAATCCGGGCCAAATTGCATCCTTGACCTAGCAGGGCCACGGGTAATCTGGCAATGCGACGAGGCGAAGCACGCGGCTGACTGAGTTAGTTGATGGGCTACTCGACCAAATACGGTCGTATAAACGTCAGTCGTTATTTAACAAAAGAAAAAGTTCGATGTCGTGCAACGATGCTGAATCACGCAAGCGACGTCGAACAGCGACGACGGGCGCGTTGGTGCGCACGCGACTCAGGTGAAAATTTCGATTGTTGCGTGAGCCAACAACGTCGGCGACGGCGAAAGTCGTCCACATCAATGTATGTCACAGCATGTGAAATTCTCGCGTCAATTGAGAGGGAGCGTTATACCTGAAACATAAAGAAATGCGACGGGTAAGGTTTTAATTCATAGTGTGGACTTTTAATTAAGGGGCTATTCTAATTTAAAAGGTCGTAAAAAAGGTATTTTTCAGGAATTTTTTGTAGAGAAACGAAAAAGGTGAATAACGTTAAACTTTGCATTTAACTTTGTTCTTTTAGAGCCAGTTTCACCAACGTCGATTAACTGTAACCTTCGATCAAACTCACTCTTCATCTTTTTCTAACTTTTCCCCCTTAGAAAGAGACAAAGTAAGTTTAATCGAAGGTTACAGTCAATCGGAGATGGTGAAACCGGCCCTTAGTCTTATTTTAAGAATATCTTTTTATTTTCTAAGTATAAAAAAAAATTAGAAAAATTTCAGAGAAATGTTTTACACCGACTAAAAAAGTGTGGTTTCGAGAAAAACAGATTTAAAGTTTTTAATACAATTTTTACTTTGCAAAAACATCGAATTTTGACCAACGACTTTAGAGACATTTTCAAGATTTCAAATATTAAGAATATGTAAAAAAAAGTTAATTTTTTTGTACCTGTTATACCAGAATACCCCCTTAGTGCATATATAATATGAAGCTTTAATTCTATGTGACATCGGCAGACCATAGAGTTGAATAAGAACCGATAAAATTAAAAATATATATATGGCGATATTTATAGTATTAAAATCAGTATATTTATAATTATGTGACGCTATACGCTATACGATATACGTCAACATGAGTTGCATTTGCAATATTCAATGACCTAATCGTAACAGACAGATCGAAGTCCAAGTTGCTTTTATACACGTAAAACAGGTATATTATAAGGTTTATGATACGTTACGTTACACTTCCAGGAAATATCGATTTTTATCGTAACCAGTTAAAGCGTGAGATATTTCACATCCTTTATAACGCAAAATGTAATGTAACGAAAAACAATTTTTCTGTTATTATATAGATTTATTAATGCCTCTTTGTGATAAAATTCAACATTCTATCAGAATGACTGTGGCTTTAAGGCTGAAATAATCCACACTTTTTATACGTTCTTCTACTTTATAGAATTTGAATTTATTAAATAAATATAACAAAAAATAAACATTAATCTATTTGACAAATGTTTGAAATAAATGAGCTGTATAATTAGATTAAAAGAAATCTGTAAATTGGTTTAAAATATTAGTAGATATATATTCTATCTAAATTCTAAACGATATAATTTAAGCAAAATCTTTTTTTGCAACCTTATTATTTTATTAATATTAATATGTTGTAGTAAACATATATGCGTTATAAATAATATATTTATAGATGATTGAAATTGTGGCCAATATTATTGCATACAAAATTTGACAAAATACAAGAAGGAGAGAGAAGAAGAAAAAATGGCTTCGAGAGAGATACAGTGGGTAAAATATAGCAAGTCGATGGTATTCGGTATTCCCATCTTTTAGCGCGGCGACGTTGCATGTTAAAATGGAACAGAGCCATTAAATGGATCGACTGTTGCATCCAACATGAGGCGGCTGCTATTGTTTCGTTTAACTGTGTGAATGACACTCTGTAAAAGCGCGACTGGCAACATACCGTCTAACTAGATGATGCATGCGATTAGCACCGCGTCTATTATAACGCGGCGATCAATTGTCGTATTACTTTCTGCTCGCTAAGAAATTCCAGTTCCAGTATATCCTGGTCGGGGGAAAGGAAGTCTCGCGCGTTCATTCTATTCTTATTTTATTTTCTTTCGATTCCTCTATATTCATACATATTCCATTTTGAAGTGAACAAGTATAACATGCGAAATCCCCAATGTTATTAGAATTTTCAAAATAAGACTTTTATTTCTCAAATATTGATTTTCTTCTTTTCCTTTTTTTCTCCTTTTCTCTCTTTATTTTCCCAATTTGTCAACTGAGAAAAGCTCTTCTCGCCGTTCGCCTTGTTATCGCTTCCAAATCAAGCTCATAGAAAGAGCAAATTTAAGTTCGATTCTGCAACGAATAATAAAAATAAAAGATTTACCTCCCTCTCGAGTGATTTGACAGCATATACTATAGAATTACGTCCATCGCTTTAATTGCTTTATACGGTTCTCTCGCGCGCATTTCCAGTTGCCCAAGTTGTTACGCCAACGCGCAACGAAATTATCTCCCGTCGTTTTCCCGGTTTTGTGTACCAGAGAACCGACGCACGATTACAGCATATGCAGAGAACAAATAAAATAGATCGAGCAACGGGAACGACACTGGAGTACATTGTGATGACACACGGTGAATATTGATTCTCGAATTTTCATTGCTATGCCGCGGAGAGAACCGAGGGAAAAATGCATTCTCCATATAACGCTGGAATAAAGCTTTCGTACGGCTTTCGTATCGCGTATTCCTACTT